AACTCAATCTGCCTGCCTGCTTTGCCTGATTTTGGGTAAAAGTTGCTTTTCTTAAAATAAAAAATCCAGTATTTATATAAATATTTACATACAAGCCACACCCAGCCAGTCATGTGACCTCCAAGCCACACCCATAAATTAGGCCATGCCCACATAATCGGTTAAGAAATTTGAATCCCACCCCTGAATATTATGCCAATATTCTATATCCTATTCTTACTAAGACAGTAAAATATTAAGAGGATAGATAAAGGTAACAAGAAAGAAAAGTGAAAAAGAGAACACTAATTATATTAAACTTCAGAGTAATAGCTATCTTTTTTTTACCACTATAAAACTGATGGCTGGTTAAGAAATAGTTTTGGCAAAGAAGCATTGTCTTGAGGCTGTTTCAGATACATGAAAGATGAGAAGCAATACTATCAAGTTTTAAAAGTAAATTAGGCCAAATGTTTTAATTAGTATTTTATATACATATATAATTTTACTTAAACCAGCCCCACGCTATGGGTTATACTGGGTAAAGGATCTCTTTTAGAATGTTTGGTCTATTAATCTGTCTATTTGGTCTATTAGTCTATTAGTCTGTCATTCTTTTCCCCCATTTTCATTTTTAAACTACACAATTATTAATCATGGACAATCTATAAATATCTGGATACATACATTCATATACACATATCTGGAAAAGTCCATGGGTATGAAGTTTGTAAGAGAAATTCAAAAATGAGATGGAGAAAAAAATACATTAACTTCCAGGAGCTATCTTATCAGTTAAGTGGGGGTTGGGGGGAGGGGAAAAAGGAATTGGGATTTTCAAGACTACAGTGGAACCTCCGATCACGACCATAATCCATTCCAGGACTTCAGTCGCAACCCGATTTGGTCGTGACTGGAAGCAAGATTGACTGTGCATCTGTGGACAAAAAAAATGGTGCAGCAGGAAAAATCACTGCGGCTGTGTTTGGTTGCCACCTGAGGATGTGTTCGCTACCAGATGCAAACATTTTCCAAAATTTTAGGTCGTCACCCGATTTGGTCGCTGTCAAAAGCGTTCACGACCCAAGGTTCCACTGTATTTACTCCCATAAAACAGTATTTGGGCTCGAAAAATGTGCACTAGAAAAAAGATCATATCTAAGCTCTTTCTGCAAATTGAAAATGTCTCCATTTAAATTGCTGAATATATATATTTAATTTATGACAACAATTGAGCCCAGAATTTATGTTGTTAAGTGAAAAATTAAAGTGAGTTTTGTCCCATTTTATGACTTTTGTCACATTTAAGTGAATCACTGCAGTTGTTAAATAACAAAGTTCTTAAGTGAATCAGACCTTCCCATTCACTTTGCTTGTCAGAAGGTTGCAAAAGATGGTCACATGGCCCCAGGACATAGCAACTGTCATAAATATGAATCAGTTGTCAAGCACCCAAATGTAAATCATGTCACCATGGGCATGCTGCAACAGTCACAAGTGTGAAAAATGGTCATAATCACTTTTTTCAGTGCCACTGTAACTTCGAACGATCATTAAGTGAACTGTTGTAAGTTGAGGACTACCTCTAAAAGGCAACTTTGTGACACATGGTGAAAAAAAGATAGGTCACAAGAATTGGTCATTAAATCATATAATTCTTAAAGATATTTCAGGCAAAATGAAACACAATTACACTTTAATTTCTACGATCAGCATACAGGGACACTTGCACAAAGTTCATAAGTTCTACATATTTAGCAGTTTCTTAACGTATTACTCCAGAATGTGGAATCTTCCAAATAGCTATTATTTTGTTTGTATACCACTTTTATTATTTTTACAAATAATTCAAGGCAGTGAACATATGTACCACACCTTTCTTCACCTATTTCCCCATAAACAACCACTCTCTGAGGCAAGTTAAGCTGAGAATGACTGGCCCATGGTCACCCAGCTGGCTTTCATGGCTAAGGTGGAAGTTGAACTCACAGTCTCTACCTATTGGCTTAACCCAGAGGTCTTCAAACTTGACAGCTTTAAGACTTGTGGACTCCAACTCCCAGAAGTCCTCCTCCACTCATGTTAGCTCAGGAATTCTGGGAGTTGAAGTCCACAAGTCTTGAACTTGCCACGTTTGTAGACCCTTGCCTTAACCACCAAATCGAACTACCTCTCTTCTAAGGCTTTTCAGTGAATATTTTGATGCTATAGACAGTTTTTGCAAGATCAAGAGAGAGAAAAAAACAGGCTGAAACCAGACTAGGTCTTTAATCAAAAACAGGTGGAAAATATTCCTCCCAACCTCCTGTGATTGTAAGCTCGTTAAATTGTGCAGGGTGGGAGAAAAAGGCACTATTTAAAATTTCACTTCACTGTAAATTAGGCTTGCACTTGATACATAGCAGTGAAATGTTTGTGTTTCTTTAGTATTTCTACAACAAATCTCTTTTCTATTCCCTTCTGTTGTGCACCCTCCAGTTGTACCTGCTCTAGTCTTGTTGAACAAAGCTTGACATCAGGTGAAAGTCATGACAAAAAAGGAGCCAATATTCAAATTTATGTTCAAGTTTTCACAACAAATTATACTATTCTTAAAATGCAGTTATACTATCTCCTGAAGAGATGGCTCATCTTCCACCAGCCTTGCTCTTGACACAGTCTCAGGTTTTTTTTTTTAATATGACTGAAAACACTGCTGCAGAAAAGCTAGATAGATTTTTAATATCATCTAGTGTTCCTTGCTTTGCTGATCTTTTAATATTTTCCATAATATCTAAACAGGTACTTTCTTCTTTCCAGTTGTTATTTCTCTTATTCTCCTCCCAATGATCTATTCCTTCTTCTGTTTAACCCCTTCCTAAGGCATCTCCATCTTGTGTTCTTTTACTATTACTGCTTTAGGGAAAGAGTATTCAGATATCTGTGAAGAATGTGTGTTTTTTACAGTATAGGCAAATAGAGAAAAGGATTTTACAGAAAACTAATTTTAATCAATAATTATTATTTGGAGTTTGTTATAGCACAGCCTTTCCTTTTCAGTACAATTTATTGCACACAGACACACAAATATATATATATATATATATATATGGCATTCAGCTTTGTTCTGGTATTTTCCCACGTCATTGTAGTTGTGCTTTTAAAGTTGTAGCAAGGTTTCGGCAGAATCTCATC